GAAGGCAGTTGCTTAACCAACTGAGCCACCCAGGCGCCCCCTTGTTTACATCTTTCTTTTTCTTGTTTTTTTCTTGTTACAGACACACACTATAAACCATACTCCATGAGGGCAGAAACCACATCTGTCTGTCTAGGTCCAAGCTGTATTTCCAGTCCCACAGGAGGAGTTCAACACAAGTTTGTTGAATGAATGAATGAAAGAACACAGGTTTCCTGCCTCCGGGGCTCCAGCTCTCTGAGTAAAAGCACAGCTTTCTCCCTTCATCTCCTACCAGGTATTTGCAAATAACTAAATGGCAAATTCTCTGGCAGCTGCAAACATTTCCAAACCTATTGGATCTTGTCCTACCTAGGAACCTGGATGGAGGTTAAGGAAATGTGAAAGTGAGATGGGGGAGCCTCCTGTGAATGAGCAGGAGGAACTTCTTGGCCACTGGCACAAACATCCAAAATTGGGTTCCAGTCCGTGTAGGAAGAAGGGGATCCCCCCAGAGGACCTGTGGCTTGTCCCCACCATCTGAGGTATGCCTTTAGGGGAAAGAAATATATAAGCTGGTGGGCTTGTGGGGAGGGCTGCTGGGCCTGATCCCTAAGCCAAGACCTGCCACGTGGCAAAAGATGTACCACCGAGAACACCTAGGAGGCCTAGTTTAGATGCCAAAGGGTTGGGTTTCTGGGGACAAGGCAGACATTTCTGGGAAGAGCAGACCACCTAATTTCAGGAAGAAAAAAGGAGAGGGTCTCAATGAGCAAGTGTTCTGAGTCCTATCATTTGGAAAGGAGGGTGAATGCCAGGAGAACGGGTGGAAGAAAAATGGCACGATGTCTCCCTAAGACACAGAACTTTATAGTTTGCAAAGTTCATTCGTTATATTCACCACCTCATTTGAGCCTCAGAGCCGCTCCACGAGGAGTCAGGGCAAGGAGAATCAGGGCGCCTTTTCAGATGAGGGGACTGAGGCCCAGAGAAGAGAGGGACTTGTGCAAAGTGAGTCAGCCAGACAGCCTGACCTTGACTGAGCACCTGCTATGTAGCAGGCAGCTGGCTAGGAATTCAGACAGGAAAGCCCATAGCTTACTTGTTGGGTAGGGAGTGTCAGAAAATGAACATAAATAAGCAAATAAGAGACTATCCGGTGTGGATCAATCTGGGAAGAAGATAAAATGGAGACAGGATTGATGCAGCCAGGGCAAGACCTAGGTCAGGATTCAGCTTGTGGATGGCATGTGGTAGGGAAAGCCAGGACACCAGTGTAGCCAGAGCAGAGGGAGTGAGGAGGGGAGAAATAATAGGGGGCCAGGTCTTGTGGGACCAATAAGCCATGGCAGGGATTTTGAATGTCACCATTTAAGCCGTGATCTGACTTAGATGTTTAAAGCAGATCCAAGTGGGGAGGTGGATGGGGAGGAGACCTGATCTGGAAAACTGAGGTTCGTAGCCTGGATCATGGTGGGAGCAGAGGAGGTGGAGAAAAGTGACTGAATTTGGGATAGATTGTGGAGATTGGGCCAAGTAGTGCTGATGGCCCCAGGGGGAAAGGGAGGGATGGCATCAAGGATGGCCCCTAGAATTTTAGCCTAAGCATCTGGGTGAAGGGCAGTGCATTTACCTAAATGAGGAAGGTTTACATAATGTGGATTTGGAGGGGAGCTCAGCAGGTCTGCCATGGCCACGTGAATATGGATTCACACTGTGACCTGGGCTGGTACCCATGTCCCCTGACTCTGTCCAATGCTCCTTTCACTGTCTAGGTGGAAGGGCATGCCATATATATCTCCCACACCACACCCCCTCCTCCAGCACTCATTCTCAGAGGGGCGGACCCCATGTCCTACAAGGGGGATTTTTCATCAGACATGGTGGTTTGAATTCTGCCTCTAAGGTTGCATGAATCTGATAAATCACCTGGTCTCTTTGAGCCTCAGTTTCCTCAGCCAAAGAGAGAGAATACTTCATTGCCACTGGGACCAATGAATGAACCATTAAATGAAAACATTGGTGCTGGATTACCCAGTTGGGCAGACAAGGCTCCAGCCCCCAAAGAAAAATTTTTATGAAAGATTTTGCCTTTTCCCCCCCATACTCCCCAAGATTTTGCTTTTTGATGTTTAAAAAAACCATATAGGGGTGCCTGGATGGCTCAGTCCTTAAGCCTCTGCCTTCGGCTTAAGTCACGATCCCAGGACCCTGGGATCGAGCCCCGCATCGGGCTCCCTGCTCAGTAGGAAGCCTGCTTCTCCCTCCCCTGCTCCCCCTGCTTGTGTTCCTGCTCTCGCTGTCTCTCTCTCTCTGTCAAATAAGTAAATAAATCTGAAAAATAAATAAATAATAAAAAATTTTAAAAACCATATAGTTAGAGAGTCTATCTGGCTCAGTCGGTGGAGAGTGCAACTCTTGTTCTTGGGGTCTTGAGTTCAAGCCCCACGTTGATGGGCCTAGAGATTACTTAATAAAAATAAAAAATAAATAAAATTCATATAGCTTACTACACACATAGACATACACACAGGCAGTGGAGAACACGGAAGGGTAGAAAGAGAATCTATGTTTCCAGATCGATTTCTGGTCTTCCCATGTTGGACACCAGTGCAACGGTGTTTCTTTCTTTTTTTTTTTTTTTAAAGATTTTATTTATTTATTTGAGAGAGAGAGAATGAGAGACAGAGAGCAGGAGAGGGAGGAGGGTCAGAGGGAGAAGCAGACTCCCTGCTGAGCAGGGAGCCCGATGCGGGACTCCATCCCGGGACTCCGGGATCATGACCTGAGCCCAAGGCAGTCGCTCAACCGACTGAGCCACCCAGGCGCCCCTGCAACGGTGTTTCTTTAAAAATTTATTTTAGGGGCACCTGGGTGGCTCAGTCAGTTAAGCTTCTGCCTTCGGCCCAGGTCATGATCCCAGGGTCCTGGGATCCAGTCTGCGTTGGGCTCCCTGCTCCGCGGGAAGCCTGCTTCTCCCTCTCCCGCTCCCCCTGCTTGTAGTCTCTCTCTCACTATCTCTCTGTCAAATAAATAAAAAAATCTTTTAAAAAAAATTTATTTTAGCAGGGGCGCCTGTCTGGCTCAGTCAGTGGAGCGGTGGACTCCTGATCTCCAGGTTGTGAGTTCGAGCCCCACATTGGGTATAGAGATTATTTAAAAATAAAAGCCATAGTAATAATAATAAAATAAAAACAAAATATTTAAAATAAACAGTAAGTAAAAAAAATTATCATAACAGATCACAATCATTATACTCATGATGGTATGGTAATCAATGTTTATTAAGAAGACAACAAAAATTCTGTGATTAAAGGTCATTTGTTTCGTCATCTGAAAAAAAAAAAACATAGATAAGGGAATGTCCTTGCTCTTAGGAAATAAACACTATAAAGTATTTAGAGGTAAAGGGGCACACTGGCACCAATTTGCCCTTAAATGGTTCAGAAACAAACAATATGCATATGTATGGGAGAGGGAGAATGTAAAGCAAATGGAAGAAAATGTAAACAAAAGGAAAATCTGGTTAAAAAGACATTCATTCATGAGTTCCTACTACTACTCCTACAACTCTTCTATAAATTAAATGAGGGATTATATCAAATAAAAAGATGCCCCCTGAAAATTAATGTTAAAAAAATAAACCACACAGGTGTACCTGGGGGGCTTAGTCGGTAGAGCACGCACCTCTTAATTTCAGGGTTGTGACTTCGAGCCCCACATTGGGCATGGACATGGAGCCTACTTAAAATAAAATTTTAGGTGCACCTGGGTGGCTCAGTTGGTTAAGTGTTCGACTTTTGATTTTAGCTCAGGTCTTCATCTCAGGGTCCTGAGTTCAAGCCCCGCGTTGCGCTCCATTAATTAGTTAATTAATTAAAATACTAAAAAAACAAGGGCCGCCTGGCTCAGTAGAGCATGTGACTCTTGATGTCGGAGTTGTAAGTTCGAGTCCGGTATTGGATGTAGAGATTACTTAAAAATAAAACCTTGAAAAAAAATTTTTTAAACAAAAAACAAAAACCCCACACATATGGGGTGCCATGCTGGCTAAATCAGAAGAGCATGCGACTCTTGATTTCGGGGTCATGAGTTCAAGCTTCATGTAGGGTGTAGAGATTACTTAATTTTTAAAAAAAGCACACATAAATATATATATATCCTTCATGCCTTTGTGCTAATCAACACATTGATGGACTTACACCCATGTCATGGTTAAATATTATATTTGTGTTGAATTCTACCACCATTTTTTCAGCTCTCACAGCAGCTACAGGTTTTAACAACATGCAAAATGCTAAGCACTGTGCTTGTTGCATAATAGGTACCTCAGATGCGGTAGGTATTTTTATGAACAGGTGACTTCATCTCTCTGTCTCGATTTCATCATCCATAAAATGGAGGTAATAAGAATCCTTACTTCGTAGAATTGTTGTGAGAATCATATGAGTTAATACATATCGGGCTTTTTGAACCATAACAACCATAAAGGTGCTTGTTAAATTAAAAAAAAAAAATACATTGTTATTGGGGCGCCTGACTGGCTCAGTTGGAAGAACCTGTGACCCTTGATCTCAGGGTCGTGACTCTTGATCTTGGGGTCCTGAGTTCGAGCCCCACGTTGGGCATAGTGATTACTTAAATAAAAACTTTTTAAAAAATACATTGTTATTAATAGTGAATTCATGCTCCCCTGCTCCCCTGGCTGTCTCAGCCCTTAGCAGGTGCGGAGAGGAACACTCCCGCTGCCCCCTCAGCATCACAGAACCCTGTCCCTTGGGCTCCCTGCTGCTTAAGGCAAGCCCAGTTCACTTCTGGATCTGCAACCAACATCTAGTGTGATGAGCCCCATTTTACAGTCAAGGAAACTGAGGCTGTGCAAGGCAAGGCAGTTTGCCTGAAAGCCATAACTGGTTGGTGGCAGAGCTGCAACTAGACTCCCAGTTCGACCCCCACTCTGCACGGACCCCCACCCCACCCCCATTCTGTGTGTGCTATGCTAAGGAGTTTGAGCCTCAGTCAACTCCCAGTCTGATTGGAATAATAATAATAGTAATGCCTACTTCCGGGAGTGACTGCAGGGATCCGCAGAGCCCGTGTATGTGAAAGAGCCCTATTGTAAAGTACTTGGTCTTAACTGCAGTGTCATCTGAGGCCACGTTCATGTGCAAAGTGGGTTCCTCACCTTTCGTTTTCAACAGAAACACCCAGACCTCTCTACCCCAGTCCACCCACAGAATTCTTTTATGTCTTTTTTTTTCTTTTATGCCTTTTTTTAAACCTAAAAATGGGCCATTGAAAGATCTGCTTTAAATATACCTACCTAGACAAGTACACAGTGGCCAGGTATTATTTGTTATTATTAAATAAGTATGTTAGTAGCAGCCATCAAGAGATGTGCCAGACACTTGGCTCAGTGTTTTGCACGTATTACGCACTGATTCTTGGGGCAGCTTCATGAAGTAGAAAGGAGTGTTATCTCCATTTTACACAGGGGGAAACTGAGGCCCACAGAGGCAGAGTAATTATTCGAAGTCATACTGCC